TCATGGGAGTGGAGTGAGACTGATGCCACTCACATACTAGTACATTAGCTGTCGATGCTGTTGGACTCCAAGCACTAGCCCAGCTTGGCCACCTGACTGATGTGCCAGGTGTCCTTTTGTCTCGACAGGGCCAGGCTGATGAGGCACTGGGTAAATGACATACCCTGCTAGAGCATTAACCAGGTGCAAATTTGAGGTATATGGATTTTGCCTTTATTTAGAAATTTGATGTTTTGTTCATCATGGAATTTTGGCATATTTATTTTTAATTTTATGTTGTGTCTGTGAGTGTATGCACACGTGTATGTGGGTGCCCACAGAGGCCAAAAGCAGATCCCTGGGAACTGGAGTTACAGACAATTGTGAACTACTGAATGCAGGGGCTGGCATCTGAACTCAGGTCCCCTGCAAGAGGAGCTAGTGCTCTTCTTAAGCCATCTCTCCAATACTTTTATTTTATTTTATTTTTTGCCTTCTTGAGACAGGGTCTTCCTGTAGCCCTAGCTGGCCTGGCACTCACTATGTAGACCAGGCTGGCCTTGAATTCACAGAGATCTGCCTGCCTCTGCCTCCTGAGTGCCAGGACTAAAGGTGTGTACCACCACACCCTATTATATTTAATTTTTAAAATGTTACTGTTCTAGGGGCTGGAGAGATGGCTCAGCAGTTAAGAGCACTGACTACTCTTGCAGAGAGCCCGGGTTCGATTCCCAGCACCCACATGGTGGCTACCAACCATCCTTAACTCCAGCTCCAGGGGAATCCTAAGCCCTCTTCTGACCTCCGTGGCACTGCACAACACAGGTTCACCCACATACATGCAGGCAATACACTCATACACATAAAACAAAAATAATAAATAAAATGTTACTGTTCTAGTTTACTTTTTTGTTGCTATAACAAATGCCATGACCAAAAGCAGCTTGGGGAGGAAAGGGTTTATTTCAGTTTACACTACAACCCACCATTGATGGAAGCCAGGGCAGGAACTCAGGCAGGAACCTAGAGGCATTACCTGAAGCAGAGACCATGGAGAAATGCTTGCTTCCTCTGGCTTGCTCAGCTACCTTTCTTATATAGCTCAGGCCCACCTGTCCAGGGATGGCACTACCCACAGTGTGGCATGTCTGCGGGGCATTTTCTTAATTACTAATGATGTAAGACATGCCCACAGGCCAGTCTTATGGAGACGATTTTTCAATTGAGGTTCTAATGGAGGTAACTGTAGTTTATGGTCAAGTTTACAGAAACTTATCAGTGCAGTTACATTAAGGGGTCTGGAGAGAGAGGTCAGTTGGTAAAGTGCTTGCTACACAAGTTTGAGGACTTGAGTTCAATATTCAGCACCCACGTAAAGAGCTGGGCATGGTGGCATGAATTTATAATGCTAGATCTGGGGGTGGAGACAGGCGGATCTGTGGGGCCTGCTGACCAGTCAGTCTAATCAAATTGATGAATTCCAGGTTTGATGAGAGATTCTGTTTCAAAAAATAAAGTGGAGGGATCCTGAGGAATAACACCCAAGGTTGACCTCTGACCTCCACAGTGCACACATATGCAGCTGCACACAAGTAATATTTATCATAATATCGTGTGTGTGTTCCATGGTGCATGTGGAGATTAGAAGACAATTTGAAAGAGTCAGTTCTCCCCTTCTACTATGTGGGTTCCAGGGCTTGAACTCAGATCATCAGCCTTGGCTGCAAGCACCTTCACCTACTGAGTCATATCTTGAGTCACATCTCTTGATGACTGAACCATTTGGTAACCTGAACCAATTGCTTCCTCAATACATTTGTTCAGATTTCTTTTTACTTCAACACTAGAGGTTAAAGCTATGCCTTGTATATGCTAGGTTTATATATGCTAGGCAAGAGCTATACCATTGAGCCACATCCCCAGCTGTTGGTTATTTTTGAGACAGGGTCTCACTGCCTGGCTTGGAACTCACAATTCTCCTGCCTCAGCTTCTAGAGCCCTGGGATTACAGACACGTGCCACTATGGTTCCTGTCTAGTCTCATTCTTCTCACACCTGCTCCAGTTGTCATGAGTATATCAGAGCTGCAGATGAAGGACAGGAAATGTCTGCATCAGGAGCAGCCCTGGAGCTCCGCCTTGACCTTCAAGGAAGCCCCAAAGCCCAGCTTTGCTGTACAGTTTGTATATTCATGAAGCCCCAGTGTTCTAGGATCCAGCAGAGAGGCAGGTATGTGTTCAGCGCGTGACTTGCCCCATCTGGTCGCTAGATGGCGCACTGGCTGTACAGGAGCTTGTGCACATCTCTTAAGACTAAGGCAGCTTTTAGGACTCTTTTGTCAAATAGAGTTTATCTGACCCTTACTTCAGACTAGACAAGGAGACAGAGACAAGGGGAGATGTAGTCACATATCTATAATCCTTTAGTACCTAATTGATTTTGCCTGTGGGTTCATATCGGAACTCTCTTCTTAGATAATTAAGCAGAAAAAGGTACATAGGATCTCACCAGGTAGCCCAGGTTGGCCTAGAAAGCACTATCCTTCTGCTTCTACCTCTCCAGTCCTGGGATTACAGATGTGTGTCACTATACCAGGTTTTATGCATCTAAACATTTTTTTGATTTATTTTTATGTGTATGAGTGTTTTGCCTGCATGTCCATAAGTGCACCTGTGTCATGCAGTGCCCATAGTGGCCAGAAGAGGGTGTCAGATCCCCTGGAACTGGAGTTAAGGACAGTTGTTAGGCTACCATGCGAGTGCTGGGAACTGAAGCTGGGCCCTTTGCAAAAGCAACCAGTGCTCTTAACAACTGAGCCGTTTCTCCAGCCCCCAGTTTTATGCATTATTATATTTTTTTAAATTGTACTTATTTTTATATTATGTTTACGAGTATATTGCTTGCATGTATGTAAGTGCACCTATATCCTACAGTGCCCTCGGAGGTCAGAAGAGAGTGTCGGATCCCCTGGAACTAGAGTTATTGATGGTTGTTAGCCACCATGCAGGTGTTGAGAACCAAACTCTAGTCTCTTGAAAGAGCAACTGATGCTTTTAACCACTGAGCCATCTCTCCAGCGCCCAATTTATTTATTTGTTTGTTTGTTTGTTTATTTATTTATTTGCTTATTTTTTGTGCTTTTGAGACAGGGTCTCCCTGTAGCCCCAGCTGATCTGGAACTCACTGTGTAGACAAGGCTGGTCTCCATCTCACAGAGATCTGCCTGCCTCTGCATCCCCGAGTGATGGGATTAAAGCCATTTGCAACCATGCCTGGCCCTTGGTTTTATTCAGGTTTGAGCTGACATGCCCATGGCACTCAGAGAATATGATAATATCCTCACGTGGCCTCGAGACTGCTGAAGACATGGCCTTTGTTACTTCTACGACCTCACCCTTCTCTCTGCTCCAGGCACATCACTCCTTTGCTGTTCTTTGGACAGTTAGCCTTTGTACTGGCTGCTCTCTTGCCCCAGACACCTGTGTGGGTCACTGTCTTTCCAAATTCCATTTTCTCAACAAAGCTTGATCAGTTAAAAGTTTCTCTCTTGCCCCCATCCACTTACTCCCACCCTTCCAACACCAATCATGTTCAACATGTTTTTTAATTAGATTTGTTCCTTGGCAATTTCCCACATATACATAAAATGCATACTGACAGCTCTTGCCTCCCATCCTTTCCTATTCAACATGTGTGTGTGTATGTGTGTGTGTGTGTGTCTGTGTGAATGTGTGTGTGTATGTATGTGTGTGTGTGTGTCTGTGTGTGTGTATGTGTGTATGTGTATGTGTGTGTGTCTGTGTGTGTGTCTATGTGTGTCTGTGTGTGTCTGTGTGTATATGTGTGTGTGTCTGTGTCTGCGTGTCTGTGTGTGTGTCTGTGTGTATGTGGGGTGTGTGTGGGTGTGTTTTATATGGGCATGTGTGTGCAGGTGCACACACCTACGTGTCCATGTTTGGAAGCCGGAGGACGTTGGGTGCCTGTGCTATTATCCTCCATCTTACTCCTTTAAGACAGATCCCTCACTAAACCTAGAATTAGGCTAGACTGACAGCCAGCAACCCCTGTGAGTCTCCTGTCTTCACCCCCAACAGTGCTGGAGCTGCACAACCATGTCCAGCTTTTTACATGGGTGCTGGGGATTTGAACTCAGGTCCCCATGCTTGCACAGCAAGCACTCTTACCTGGTGAGTCATCTCTCTAGTGCCTGAACATTTTCTTTTTCCAGTTGCTCTGATCTTGTAGCCACCTATATAATTACATCCCATTACTTGTTTATTATTTGGTGTATTAATCAAAACAGATTATGTTACATTGAAGTAACAAACAGCCCACAAATTTCACTTTAAAAAAGTGTTTAGCTGAGTGTGGTAGCTCATGCCACTGAGAATGCCGAGTCAGAGAATCACTGCGAGTCTGAGGACAGCCTGTGTTACACAGTGAGTTCCAGGACAGCCTGGGCTACATAGTGAGTTCCAGGACAGCCTGGGCTACATAGTGAGATCCAGGACAGCCTGGGTTACATAGTGAGTTCTAGGACAACCTGGGCTACATAGTGAGACCTGGCCTCACAAAAACAAAACAGCAACAACATCACCAAACATATTTACAGATGTCCTCAACTTTTTTTTTAGAATACAAATAAAAGTTTATTGTACAAAATTAAGACTTGATATTTCATAGTTCACCAAAACTAAAGAAAGACCAAATCATCCTTCCCTGAAACTTCACCTTCACTTCCCCCAACTTCAGCTATTAAAATGACATGACCACATGTCAAAACAAGCACGATAAATAACACCAAATCCTTTTTCTTTGCTTTGCTTTTTTTTTTTTTTTCGGTCTTTCTGAGACAGGATCTCCCTGTAGCTCCAGCTGTCCTGGAACTCACTATGTAGACCAGGCTGGCCTCGAACTCACAAAAATCCGCCTGCCTCTGCCTCCTGAGTGCTGGGATTAAAGGCTTGTGCCACCATGCCCAGCTTAACACCAAGTCCTTTAAAAAAAGGCTCTCACAAATGTTATTTCTTGGCATCGGTGATCTTTATAGCATAGGGTGGTATGATCTGAAACCCTTGCAAAGCATCTCTGGCAGCTCCAGCCTGCCCATCATTTTCAGATTCTACAAATGTAATGTCATGTTTCCCAGGTACCAAATGAACTTCTTTGAAACCAGGGAACTGATTAAAAAGCATGGGTAGCATCATCTCATTAGTCTCTTCTGGTAAGTTATTAAGGAATAAAATATAGTTTGGAGGGTAATCCAGGACCTGAGGGTTTGGTGTTGAGTTTCCTTGGGTATTAGCTGAATTTGGTGTTCGCTGACCAGGCTTTTTGTTTGCAGATGCCGCAGCCTGTTCCACAGTTTTAGTGTTCTTCTTTTCCTTGTCAGCAAAAGCGCTACACATTTTAGGTATTATATCAGAATCTGTTTTTGCATACTGAACTCACATTGGTTTGCCATAAATTGGAAATCCTTGTAACAGTCTCAGAGCATTTGTGGATGAGCCCAGTTCCATAGAGAGCAAAAGCCTGTCCTCTCATCTTCATGGTCTTTAAAGCCATGATATCTACCACATGACCAAACTGAAAAAACAGGGCATACAGGGATCTCTTCAATTCTTCTGTTATAACCTTGTGATTCATATTGTTGATATAAATCATATGATTTGGGCTGATACCCATGTTTGGGTCAAATTCTTCAAACAGCCCGAGGCTTGCACTGCTAACCAGAAGTAAAAGCCGGAAGTGGCACCAGGCGCTGGAAGAGAGGTCCTCAACTTTTTTATATGGGCCACTACCAGGAGGTTCACATTTGGCATGGGCCTTCCCACATCAATGAAGGCAATCAGGAAAATTCCTTAGTTGAGGCTCCCTATTCTGGTGATTCTAATTTGTGGCAAGTTGACATTAAAAGCAACCACCAGCCCAGGCGTGGTGGCACACGCCTGCAGTCCCAGCACTTGGGAAGCAGAGGCAGGTGGATCTCTATGAGTTCAAGGCCAGCCTGGTCTATATAGTGAGTTCCAGGCCAGCTGGGGCTACAGGGAGACCCTGTCTCAAAAAGATCAAAAACAAAACAAAACAACCCCAAAAACTTAAAACCAACCACCACAGGACCTGACTTTGGATCACTAGAGTTCATGTAAATCTGGACATGGTAGCACAGGTCTATAATTCCAACACTTGAATGTTGACATGAGAAGCAGAGACAGGAGAATCCCCGAAAGCTCAGGGACCAAGCACCCTGGTGCACACAGTGAAGAGAGGACCCTGTTTTACACAAGGTGGCAAGTGAGGACTGACACTTGAGGTTGTCCTCTGACCCCTACATACATGCTGTGCCACATATATACCTGCACTCACACACAAGAACACACACATGCCGCGCATAAATATTTTTTTTAAAAAAAAGAGGGGCTGGAGAGATGGCTCAGTGGTTAAGAACACTGGCTGCTCTTGCAGAGGACCTGGGTTCAGTTCCCAACATCCACATGGTGGCTAACAATCATCTGTAAGTTCAGTTCCAGGGAATTCAATGCCTGCCTCTTGGCCCCTGTGTGTATTACATGTGTGTGGTGCACTTACATATATGTAGGCAAAACACTCATATACATAAAATAAAAATTAAAAATAATTTAAAGAGAAAGAAACACAAATATCATGCAATTGTGATTTACAAAGTAAGACGGGACTGATGAGCTGGTTCAGCTGGTAAAAGTGCCTGCCAGCAATCCTGATGACTCAAGTTTGGTCCCTGGGACCCAAATGATAGAAAAAGAGAACTGACTCCTGTAAGTTGTTCTCTGACTTCCACATGTGCTCTGTGGTGCACATTGAGCCTACACAAGCACACACACACACACACACACACGCACACACACACACACAGAAATAATGTAATAAACAAATCAATAAAAATGTAATAAAACCCCTGTCAGTCATCAAGAGAGACTTTCAAGTACAACAGTGCACATAAGACAGATTCAGAAGTTCAGATACCTACTACAGAAAACAATGTGGTTAGTCTATCAGCACCTCTGATGGTGTCAGGGAAGCTCTTTTGTTCTGTGCTTTAAGAATGTCCGGGACGGGGCTGGAGAGATGGCTCAAAAGTTAAGAGCATTGGCTGCTCTTGCAGAGGACCCAGGACCAGTTTCCAGCATCCACATGGCAGCTAACGACTGTCTGTAACTCCAGTTCTAGGGCTTCCAATGCCCTCTTCTGGCCTCTATGGGCATTGCATGACACAGGTACACTTTTACTTACATAGGGCAAAACACTTATATGCATAAAAATCAGTTAACTGGGCTGGAGAGATGGCTCAGCGGTTAAGAGCACTGACTGCTCTTGCATAGGACCTGGGTTTGATTCCCAGCACCCACATAGTGGCTAAAAACCATCTGAAACTCCAGTTCTAGGGGATTTGACACCTTCTTCTGGCCTCTGTGGGCATCGTGTGACACAGGTGCACTTAACATACACACAGGCAAAACACTCATACACATAAAATAATAAAATATTTTAAAAACTAATTAAAATTAAAAATTTTCAAAAACAAAACAAAATGGACAGTGACTGAGGAAGACACACCTGAGGTTGATCTCTGTTCCCTCCACATGCACATGTGTGCACTGCATGTACACACACACACATACACACACACACACAGAATGTCAGGTATATTATCCCTCACACTGAGCAATGATCCCTCTGTTCTGAGTAAGACTTTTTGTTGTTTCGTTTTATTTTCTTTAGTTAAGTCCTTGGAAAAGTTCTGTTTTCCCCGAGAAACTGACATGCTTCCTAAGAGAATTATAAAATGACAATCCCAGCACTGAGGAGGTGAAGGAAAGGAGTGGGGCAAGTTGAGGACAGCCTGAACCACACAGTGAGACCCTGTCAAAAGAAAGAGAGGAAGGAAGGAAGGAAGGAAGGAAGGAAGGAAGGAAGGAAAATCTACCTGGAGAGATGGCTCAGCGCTTAAGAGCCCTTGCCGTGCAATCAAGAGGACCAGAGTTCAGATCCATGTAACAAGCTGGATATCTAAAAACACCTATATTTCCAGCTCTGAGGGAGTCTGATGCTCTTTTCTCCTCTGTAGGCACAGACATGTGTATCCCACACACATTTGTGGTCACACAACAAACAAATATATGAAAGTAAGTCCTTAAAAATATAAAAAGATTGTGTGTCTTGAGGCTGGAGAGAATGGTTCCATGGTTAAGAACACTTGCTGCTCTTCCAGAGGGTCTGAATTTGATTCCCAGCACCCACATCGGCCAGCTCATAACTGTCCATAACTTCAGCAATGTCCTTTTCTGGCCTCTGTAGACACCTGCATACATGTGTTGGGAATACATACACTCAAGGCCTACACACATACACATAAAATAAATCTAAAAGAAAAAATTTTATATCTCTTTTCATTTGCCAGGGAGCTTGGCTCTAAATTGGAAACTCAATTATTATGCAGTAACCAGTTGACTCTGTGGAGTTTGCCTATTTGTGTTTATTTTCTTTCACTTCAATAAAACAACCTTTTTTTTTTTTTTTTGGTTTTTTTGGACAGGGGCTCCCCCTGAACCCCCAGCTTGCCTGGAACCCATTATGTAGACCAGGCTGGCCTTGAACTCACAGAGATCCGCCTGCCTCTGCCTCCCAAGTGCTGGGATCAAAGGTGTGCGCCACCACGCGTGGCCAAAACAACCATTTTTTAGAAAAATTATTTTTTAAAAAAATGTATGTGTATGAGTGTTTTGCCTGCATGTATGTAAGTGAACCCATGTTGTGCAATACCCAAGGAGGTCAGAAAAAGGTGTGGGATCCCCTGGAGTTACTAACAGTTATTAGCTGCCATGTGGGTGCAGGGAGCCAAACCTAGGTCCTCTGCAAGAGCAGCCAGTGCTTTAATTGCTGAGCCATCTCTCCAGCCCCAACCTTTTTGTTTTTTTTTTCAGATGGGTCTCATGAAGTCCAGGCTGGCCTCAGACTGTCTAGGTAGCTGAGGATGACCTTGAACTAATGATCCTCCTGCCTTTACCTCCCAAGCGCTGGGATTACAGTGCCACATCACTAAGTCTATGCAACTTCTTTGCTTCTTCTTTGAGGCAGGGTCTCACTATATGTAACTCTGGATGGTGTAAAACTTGTTATATAGACCAGGCTGGCCTCAAACTCATAGAGATCTGCCTGCCTCTGCCTCCTGAGTGCAGGGACTAAAGGTGTGCGATACCACGCCCAACTTCAACTTCTTACTTTCAGCTCTTAGCTTTAGTCTTTCAACTTTTATTTGTATATAGGTGTTCTTATTTTACATTGTCTCAAATCTATATGGAATGAGGCAGGATGTAAAATAAAGAAACATAATTGAGTAAAATTTCTTTTTAATATCAATACAACTCATTTATAAAGAAAAAGATATTGAAAATCTGCTTCTAAAGTAATTTTCTATAAGCAGAGTACAATATTCCAACTGACTTTCATTATAAAATTGAAGATAGGTCCCTCTAGGAAAAAGAATTCTGGTCCCCAAATGTCATAAAAAGCACATTCTAAAATTGCAGTGCATATATAAGTTCTCATATTTTAAAGGAACTAAGCATTCTATATTAATATATTGAGAAGAATGTGAAAAATAAGCCATAAAACAGAAGTGCAAAAATATTGCTTTTATGTCTTGGTGTAACAATTTAAAATATAAAAGGAAAAAATGTGAGTTTTTCTAGCTAGATTTTTTTCTTACATTTATTTATTCATTCATTTGTGTGTGTGGAGGTGGGGGTGTGCACACGTGTGCATACAAGCAATGTGCATGTGGAGGTCAGAAGACACGTGGGTTTCCGGGATCGAACTCCAAGTCAGTTGGCAGCAGACATCTTAACTCGCTGAGCCATTAAACCAGCACTGTCTCCATAGCTCTACTTTTTCTGGAATTCTCTAAGGCAGGGTTTCTTAGACCTCAGGCTGGCTCATACACCTTGACTTTGCCAAATCTAAGTCTGTTTTCTTAATCTGTCAATATTAAATGTTCAAATCAACTCATTGTTTAAACTTAAACTGATTTAAGAGGAAGCAGTTTAAATAATATATGGTATGTCTAAATTCATAAGTTTACCATTTTCCTAATGCACATATAATCAACTCAAAAGTACTTAAATTTGTGTGTGTGTGTGTGTGTGTGTGTGTGTGTGTGTAGGTACACATGTGCAGATGTGTGTATGGAGACCAGAGATCAATATCAGTTGTTCTAGTTTGTCTCTTCACTGCTGTGACAAAATTCTCTGACCATTTCCAACTTGGGGAGGAAAGGGTTTATTTGTCTTACATCTCCCAGGTCACAGTTCATCAGGGAGCCCAAGGTAGGAACTCAGGGCAAGAACCTGGAGGCAGAAGCTGGAGCACAGGCCATGGAGGAATGCTGCTTACTGGCTTGTTCCCCTGGCCCCTGCTCAGCCTGCTTTCTTATGACACACAGGCCCACCTGCCCAGGGGTGGCACCACCCTCAGTGGGCTGGGCCCTCCCACATCAAACAACAATCAAGAAGATGCCCACAGACATGGCCACAGGCCAGTTCAATGGAGGCAGTTCCCCAGTTGAGGCTCCCTCAACGCAGGTGTGTCAAGTTGACACTGAAGCTATCCAGCACAGTTGTCTTTATCATTCTCCACCTTATTTTTTTGAG